GGTACAGCACCGCCCCGATGACAAAGTGGGACGACTCGTCCGCTTCTGCAGAGAGAGGCACACGCGTGTGCTCAGCACCACACACGTGTGCTCAGCACCACACACGTGTGTTCAGTACCACATGCGTGTGCTCAGCACCACATGCGTGTGCTCAGCACCACACGCGTGAGAGAACACGCGTGTGAAGGAACACGCGGCCCCCCAGCACACACGTGGCACGTATGGACACGCCACCAGCACGCTGACACATGTGGGCTCCCAGATGTGCTCATCCTTCCAGATGTGCTCTCACTCATGCACAGCCCCAGACATGCCAGCACACACGTGTTCGCCAGCACACACGTGTTCACCTGCACACACGTGCATGCCACGCCCGGGTATGCACCCCAAACCTGTGTCTGAATGTGTGCTGTGCCACAAATGCATAACACACGTGCACAGCACCAGATGTGCACTCCCATGTACATGTTCACACATATGTACACACATGCAGGCTCCCAGATGTGCGCGTTCACACGTGTGCACATTCCCAGATGGGCACTCCCACGTGCAGGCTCACACATATTCACACACGTGCACACTCCCAGATGTGCATGTTCACACCTGTTCACACACACATGCAGGCTCACACATATTCACACACGTGCCCCGTCCCAGGTGTGCACGCTCACACACACGTGCACGGCACCAGATGTGCACTCCCACGTGTGTGTTCACACCCGTGCCCGCTCCCACCCAGCCCCAGGCTCAGCCCCCCGCACACACGTTAACACACGTGCACACACGCGTGCCCTCTCACCGGCAGAGGCGAGGCTCAGCACCTCCCTGGGGATGAAGAGCTTGTCCTCGGAGCTGCGGGCCCAATCCTTCATGCCCCGCCGCCCCTTCATGGGGAAGTTGATGTCGCTGGACACGGCAGAGACGGGCTCCCGCTGGATGCTGGTCACTGCCGGGGCACAGCGGGGTCACCACGGGCTCCCCGCAGCCCCCCGGGACCCCGCGCCCACCCTGCCGCTCACCCAGGTTGTCCGTGACAATGAGGGAGCTCTGGAAAGCCTTCAGCGCGTCCCCAACCAGGTGGATGAAGTCCTCCACCACCTTCATCAGGTGCACGGAGCCAGGAGAGACCTGCGGGAGGCGGAACAGCTCCAGAGACGCCGGGGTGGTGGGGACACCCCGGCAGTGGGGACATCCCGGCAGTGGGGACATCCTGGCTGCGCCCACCCCCCCCGTGCCACTCACCTGCTGGGCATCCTCCCACTTGTCCCGGTTCTCGGCGTCCACCATGTAGCTCACCACCTGGAAGAAGCGCTGCGGGGACGGGGCTCAGCGGGGCTGGGCTGCGGGGACCGAGCGCCGCCGCCTCCCCGGGGCATCCCCTCGCTGCCCCCCCGCCCGCTACCTGCACGTCCTCGGAGGACGGGGTGTAGGTGGCCCTCTTGAAGGTGTCGGTGACGTTGCGCAGGATCTCCACGGAGAAGAGCAGGTCCCCGCTGTAGTAGGTCTTGCGGGCCATGAGCTCCAGGAGGCTCCGCACCACCTGCGACATCCCCTCCCCTGCCAGCACCCGCTGCCCCTTGGCCAGGTGCTCCCGCAGCTTGGGCGGGGTGGGGACACCCGTGTCACTCACCCCAGCAGCGCTCTGTGTCCCCAGGACCCTCCTCATGCCCAAAGCCCAGGCAGTGGGGACGCTGATAATTGCACTGACTGGGGCAGCAGCGGGACACGGGGGTCTGGGGGGTTCCACAGCAGTCTGGGGCCATTATAGGGGCCTGGGGGTGTCCTTCCCATCCCAAAAGCCATTTCCCAAGGACATGAGAGCATAACTTGGATGGTGGTCCCTGTTCCAGCTCTGGGGTTGGAGCCCTATTCCAAGCCCACGGGGGTCTGGGAGTGTTCACAGGGGTGTGAGGGATCCGCAGGAGTCTGGGGGCATCCTTCTCATCCAAAGAGCCATTTTCTAAGGACATGGGAACACAGCTCAGATCAGGGTGTCCCCCCCAGCTCCAGGATAGGGTTCCTATTCCCAACCCATGGTGGTCTGGGGGATTCCACAGGGGTCTGGGGGGCCCTTCCCCTCCCGAGAGCCATTTCCCAAGGACACAGGAGAGAGACCCGCCCCAGCCCCTGCCTCAGTTTCCCCACACAGTGCCCAGCTGTTGAAAGGAGGCAGCTGCTGGGATGCCAGGGATGGGGCAGAGCCCCGGGAACAGGGAGGGGAGGGCAGAGGGGTCCGTGCCAGAGCGGGCACCTACTGAGAGATGCAAGTATCGGTACTCGTGGGAGATGCAGCGGGCGAAGCTGGGCACACCCCAGTAGGCCACCCCGTGGGGGCTCAGCAGGCACCGGCGGCTGGCAGTCCCTGCACGGGAGATTTGGGGTTGGGGCTGGCATGGGAACCACCTTCCTGGCACCCCCTGCCCTGCTCCAGGGCCAGGGGGGCTTGGGAGTGCTCAACCCTAATGCCACCTACCACTTCTGGGGTTTGGGGGTGCTCAAACCCGATGTCAGCTCCCACACCCTGCCCTTCTCCAGGCTGGGGGGGTTTGGGGATGCTGGACCCCAAACCACCTGCTGGCCCCTGCTCTGCTCCAGGTGGCTCGACCCCAATGCCACCCCCACCCCCCTCCCTGCACCAGTGTGGGAGTGTCTGGGGGCACACACCCCCCTCACCTGTGGCATCAGGAGGGCATTTGTTGTAGATGATCTCCCCGGCAGCCGTTTTCTTCCAGGTCATCAGCATGACGTACTCGTCCTTGCACATCTCATGGTAGGCTGGGCATGGAAGGTGGGGGGGGGTCAGGAGCAGCCCAGACATGGGGGTGATGGGCACCGGGGTGTGGGGTACCCCATACCTGGGCACTTCTTCTCATTGCAGGGCTTCACCTCCTCGCCGGTGCCCTCGCAGGGGTAGCCCTGCACGCCCGTGCCCTCGCACATGCGGAAGCGGCGCTGCCAGCCGGTGTCACAGGTCTTGGAGCAGAGGCTCCAGTGGTTCCAGGGACCCCACTTGCTGTCTGCTGTGGGGATGGGGACACTGTGGGACACCCGGCTCTGCACGGCGAGCGGCACCCGCGGGGACGGGGACAGGGCACCTCCGACGCTGCCGCACGCGCCATGGATCGAAACCCCACAGGGTTCTATGAAATCCATGGATCAGCGATTTAAGTCTCTTTCAGACAAGACTGGCATCCTGGTGCAGATGCCCACCGTTCCCTACCGGCATCCACGGGCACCCGTGGCGTGCCCACCTCCCTTCGCGCCTGCCACCGATGCCGCCCCCCCCTCCCACGAGACAAGGAGGGGCTCAAAGGACTGGACGAGGACCCTGTGGTCCATCCTTCGGCCTGCCTGCCCCC